TTCTAGTGCCAGTATATCTTTTTTGAGATGAGGAGACCACATCTGTACGCAGTATTCGAGATGAGGGCGTACCATCGATTTATATAAGGGCAATAATATATTCTCAGTCTTATTTTCTATCCCCTTTTTAATGATTCCTAACATCCTGTTTGCTTTAATTGAATGGGAGCAATATTTATTTCTGCAGAAAGAGGCTGTCTCTGCTGCATTAAATCAAGGAAAACTCCAATTGACAATCTCATACATATGTATAATAAGAAATATATAACTCACAATCCAAAAGCTTGGACCAGTTTCTGAGCTCAGTTATGCAAGTTCAAATACAGAATTATTCCACTAACTGCAAAACTTTTTTTTCTAGAAACACACAACTGCAACTCAGGGCAAATTCTGTAACTTTGCTTCCAACTATCAATAAAATGGCTGAGTTGGAAAAAAAAAAAAAGGGCTCAAATTTTCAGGGTTAATTTCAGAAAAAAATATATATTTTGGATATATCTCTGTGGAAGTCAATAGACTTAATCTGTATTTAAATGTATATAACTGAGAGGAGATTCAGAACTAAGGTTTTGGTTTTGGAGGGCTTTTTTCTTATTAGGTATGGAATATTTTAGTAATATGTTCAGTGCATAAACCTCTTATTGGATTTCCCAATGAAAAATATTAAAATAAAAAAATGAATATATATAAAATATATTAAATAGGTATATCTCCATATATTTACTTTATCTCATAGAACTGGAAGGGACCCCAAAAGATCCTTGAGTCCAGCCCCCTGCCTTCACTAGCAGGACCAAGCACTGATTTTGCCCCAGATGCCTAAGTGGCCCTCTCAAGGATTGACCTCACACCACTGGGTTTAGCAGGCCAATTGTCAAACCACTGAGTTATCCCTCCACCCCATTGTTCTTTTGGAGGCCAAATCCTTAAATTCTGAGTATTTACACTCACCCAGCACAGAGGTTTAAAAGGAAAGTTCACTTGTTTTGAAATAAAAACCTTTTGAAAACCTTATGCAGAAAGGCCTGTGAGCCATGCCTCCCTCCCTCCCCTGCCCCAAATTGAAATGGGGGTACAGCAGAACTATATCATGGGAAGATCTAGTAATTGCTGAGCAAACAGAGAGGAAAGTGAAGAGAAGCCAGGTTGGTGGGCTGGACTGAAGCAGAAGGGGACTAGACAAGAGATAAGGATGGGGGCAGTTATGAGCAGTGGTAGGCAGAGGCCACAGATTCAGGCCAGTAGAAAATATGGCATATCCTGCAATTGTTGAGAGCACAAGGGACTTTGACTGGTGCTATGCCTGAAAAACATTTTTCAGAATGCCTTTGGTTTTCATAAAGTGTAGCAGGATGTTAGCCCATACTGAATTTCTTTAGGCACTGATCTATTTATATCTTGTTAACTGCTTAAAAACCTGCTTACACCACACCGATACTGATTCCCTGTCTTTGAAATATGAATCAAATGTGCACAATCTTAGATTGCTGTTATTTTCTTACCGGTAATGACCAGGAGGCAAAAAGGGAGTCATTTTTAATACCCAAATTGTCACAATGAAAAAGGAGAAAGTTCTGAAAAATGCATCTGCCAGTGATGATACAATAGGGAGGGCCTGGCCAAAGATTTTGCGTTTGGGCTCCAGAACAAGCTCCTTCTTCACTGCAAGGTGATAAATGTTAACACAGTCATTGAAATGTCGTTCTTCTCTTCCAGAGCAACTGCAGAAAACAATTGGTATGTGCTCCTTTTTTCACCTGAATATTATTCCTTACCATAATAATGCTCTGAATAAGTTTCTGGTTCTCCCCCTCTCCTCACCTCCATCTCTTTGAGATTTGAGTTTAATTCATTCCCCAAGCAGACCAGCTGTTGACAATTTCAGTGTATTTTAGGAATGCACCAAGATCAGTTTCCTGATTGATTTGAGCCGTAATGCTGAATACCAGAAATCTTGGAGACTCTGATTCTGGCCATTATCTTCATTCTAATTTTAAAACTAATCATAGGTAAAACAAGCCATAGTCGCCTTATATGGAAAATTACCTTGAAACATAAAATACAGGTACATCCGTCTCAGATATTTATGCATATATTGTGATTACATTCATGTGAGTCATAATGAGGAGAGAGGGCACAAGGAGCTGTGCCTTAAACCATCTTATTCGATATTGGTGGGATTTTTTGACAACCTGAGTGACGTAAGAGCAAAAGTCCCCCTAGAAGTCTCCATTTCTCACTCACTTGGGTGTTTTTGAAAATCCTCCTCCTTGCCTGTGGGATATCGGCCCCAGCCTGCAGCAGTGCTATGTGCCAGACTTGTTTATACATTCATTCTAGACTGTCCAAATGGAGCCAAGATGGGAGAAGTGATGTCAATCATTTCTTCTGGATTTCAGTTGGAAAACATCCAGCTGGGTGTGTATCTGCACTTTGAGGTGCCTAAATGCCTTCAATAATCTGCCTCTGCTTCCTAAGAAGCCCCATCAACACTGTAACATTGTAAGAACAGTAGGACAATGGGATAAAATGCCCAGGGAAGTCAAGGAAGCTCCTTCACTGGAGGTTTTCAAAAGGAAGCTGGATAGCCATCTGTCTTGGATGCTGTAAACACAACCAATCCTGCATCATGGCTGGGGTTAGACTAGATGATCCTTGCGGTCTCGTCTAACCCTAGGGTTCTATGATTCTATGTTGAAGTACCCTGAATGTCACAAAGGAAGTACATGAATATAGGAAATCTATGCATTACTTTCGTTTGGGATCTACAGCACATTTTGCACATTGAAAGACTTGCATTATTTTGAAAGAAAAAAATTAGTTGTATGTTTTTCTGACAATCTTAAGAAACAGAACATTAGGTTTACTTTTCATTGTGAGTTTAGTGTTAATCAGACTGAGCACAAATTACTGGTAGATTGTGGGTATCACTATAATACCTTAAACAAACTCAAGGATTAAGCTTTTGTCAATAAGCATTCTACGGTAATGGGTGGTTGGGGAGTCAGTGGGGTGTGGGCTGGTTCTCCAGTTTTGTGAGATCACAGGGCTTCTGCTTTGCTTAGTTCTGAAATGCAAGAATCTGAGTAGTTAGTAGATCTGGGTAATGATTCAAGTGTGGTGTGTAGGAAAGGAGATGAAAGAGAAAACTGGCAGTTGATGATTGGGGAAGTCTGCAGGGACAGCTCTCTTAATGAAGTAAGGTAACACCTGTTCACTGAATTTGTAATTGAAATCACACTTTTCTTTTGCAGAGCAACTCCAGACCGAACTTCGTAAGTTCTCTTTGCTTTCTCACCTGCTACTATCCTTCAGAATAATGTTAATAAATCAAAGCAGATAATTCTTCATATCATTGCCTTTGCTCAATCCAAGCAGATTTCTATTTACCCCCATAACAGAACCGTGATAACTTTCTCTCATAACAAATTGATTCATCACGCTAGAATATTCTTATTTATTTTCTCTCTAGTCTAAAATTGAAAGAGTGATTTTCAGAATAACTGTACAATATAGACATAGGGGAATCTTTGTATGATGTATAGGCACTATACGTGCTCCTATATCACCTCCTTCTGGCCCAGTGCAAGGTGTTTGACCAGAAAAGAGGGGGCACGGCTCTACATTCTGCACTACGCCAAGGATCTGTTGGTAACCAAAACAGTTTAGAAGATCCTTCAAGCTGTTGTATTGGTCACAATGGGAACATCCCACTGCAGAGAAAGCTGAGAATTGGAGGATAGGATGCAAACAGAACCTTTCATTATTCCTCCTCCCCACCCACAAAGTTTCACTGAGTGTTCTTTAGCCGCAGCTCCGGACTGCCATTACAACCTTGAGCCCAGTGATTAGAGCACTCAGTGAGAGATGGGGAAACCCAGGTTCAAATCTCCGATCCACTACAGATAAAGGGTAAGAACTGGGTTGCCCACATCCTGGGTGAGTGCTGTAACCAGTGGCCCTGTTTAGACATGGCTTTTCTGTGTATGTAGGAGGATCTTGAGCTGAAAAGAGCAGTTACAGTCTTTGTCCATTTTTGAAGAAAAGAACAATTCTGTTCCAAGTAACCCTGTGAGCATCTCTGCTAATTTCCGTAGGAGCTATTTGTGCTTATCTGAGGCTGAGTGTAGCCTATTTGTGAATGCTGAAACATTGATTTGTTTTTCAGAAACACTGAGGGAAAAATATGGTAAGTATGGGATTGCCCATTGGTTTCATCGAAATAAAATGAAATGAAATAAACAAAAGTATAAATAAATAGAAAGAATGAGGGAGAAAAAGAGAACCTCTACAACTGAAAAAAAAATGTAATCTATTTCTTGGAATTTGTATTATCCATCCCTCCTCTCTTAGCTCAGAAATGTCTTTTACTGTCTAGGGATCACATTTTTTTTAATACTTACCATTTGTTGGGCATCTCCCACTTCAGAGAGCTTTCCCCTGAATTTCAGAAGATTTTCAGATTTTTAGATATTCCCCTGATTTTCAGAAGACTCCAAATTAATTCAACAGGAGATACAGGTTGTCTGGACACAGGAGGTCTCAAATTACACACTAACAATCCGTGTCCACAATTGAAAATTTACTTTGAGATGTGCAACAGCAAAAGGGAGCTCATCTTATACTCTGAACAGGTCTTTCCATTTTACTTAGTTTAAATAATTCTATTATTTTTTCTACTTTTTTTTTTTACTTTTTCTCACATGCCAAAGTTTATTTCATCATTCCCCTTTAATCTTGCTATTGATGTGTCATGTTCTCTTTCCCAGTCTCTGTTTTAGTCATCTCATTTCTCAGCCTATGAGATCATATAACAATGAATGCCATATAAAATGTAGGTAGAATCTGTTCTTTTCATTTTTAAGATATTATATACATAGCTCTAACTCCCTCCCATCTCAGATCACATCATTGGTGTACTTTGTTCTGTGTCATCCGTCAAACAGTTGAGTTAATGTTGGATTTCATAGTGCTGGAGAGCAAGTTACATCAAGTTAAATTTGGGTTTTCAGCTTCTCACCCCTCATTTTTAACGCTGACTGATCATATTCACACTCTAAAGAACAGTGGTGGTAATCACTATCAGCTGAAATCTGTAACATGGCTGATTTGACTCTAATGTTTTATATCTCCAGAAGATAATGGGAAAATGAGGATTGGTTTGTGAACAGTTTCACTCACACAAAAAGCAGGCTGTGTGAAATTAAGAACCATCAATGTATTCATCTCACTGACCTAAACAAAATTGTCCTTGATTTGGATGGCTGGATCTTTCTTTAAATTTGAAAAAGAAAACCCCCACACAGCCGAAGACAGGGATTCATGTATCTTGTCAATTTTCTTGCTCAAGGTAGTGAGCTAAAAATAGCATTGTGGACATAGTGGCAGAGGCAGAAGTTCAGGCCAACTACCCAAATACAGTGCCTCCCATCCTGCTCGGTACATACTTGGGCAGATAGCCCAAGAGATTGCCACTGTCTGATGTGGCCTCACTGCTATTCTTATGCAGAAACAGAAGTAGAGTTGTTGTGAGTACATCCACCCAAACTGGAAATCACATCTCCCAGCTGCTATGGAGACACCCTGAATGTCACATAGGAAGTACAGGAGTGCAGGGAATCTGTCCATTACTTTACATTTGGATGCTACAGCACAAATAGCATATCAAGAGACTTGTATTATTTTGATATGAATTTTATTTTTGTTATTTCAGAGGTGTTTGATAAAGAAAACGGTAGGTTTATTTTGATTTTTGAGTTTAATAGATATCAGACTGAGCACAAATTACTAGTATTTGTTGGTACCACAATAGTTCCTTCAAGACACTGAGGGTTCAAGCTGTAGTTGAGAAGGTGAGTGGTAATGGATGGCCGGGAGATGAGAATTAATAAAGAGGAGTCATTAGTGTGTGGGGTAAGTCTCCAGTTATGTGCAAGAACAGGGCCTTTGTTTTGGTTAGTTATGGAATGCAAGATTCTGAATTGTTACTAGATCTGGGTGATGGATCAGGTGTGGGTGTAGGAAAGAGAAAACTGGTAGCTGATGATCTGCTGTTCACCAATTTCTAACGGAAATCACACTGTTCTTTTACAGACCAACTCCAGACCAAACTTCGTAAGTTCTCTTTGATTTCTCACCTGCTACTATCCTTCAGAATAACATTAGTACATCAAAGCAGATAATTTTTCATATCATTGCCTTTGCTCAATCCAAGCAGATTACTTTTTAACCCCATAACAGAACTGTGATGACTTTCTCTCATAAAAAAAAAAAAAGATTCATGACACTAGAATATTCTTATTTATTTTCTCTCTGGTCTAAAATTAAAAGAGTGATTTTCAGAATAACTGTGCAACACATATATGACAATAATGTCATGCCTCCGCCTCTGTTGATTTTATCTTTAAGAGTATGTAGGAGGCTAGCAGAAATTTTCTGTGGGGTTAATATTTTCATTGTGTAATTTTTTTTCATGGTATGGTGTGTGTTATTAATTGGGAAAATCACATTGAGTTGGTAAAATTATATCTATGTTAAGAGTAGCACTCTATTGTGGAATAGTAGCTCTTTGAATAAAAAAATGCTTTCTGTCAGATTCTGAGCCACATTGCAACTTCTTCATGCTGCTCTAACTACATGAATGTCCCCCAAAATCAATGGATCTGAGCTCTAGGGGTTTCCCCTAGCACTAGTGAATTTTTGTGTGGTGTACAGGCACTATACACGCTCCTATATCACCTCCTTCTGGCCCAGTGCAAAGTGTTTGTACAGAAACAGGAGGGCATGACTCCGCATTCATACAGTCTGTCTTCTGCACTACTGCAGGAATCTGTTGGTAACCAAAACAGTTTAGAAGATCCTTCAAGCTGTTGTACTGTTCACAATGGGAATATCTGACTGCAGAGAAAGCTGAGAATTGGAGGATAGGATGCAAACAGAACCTTTCATTATTCCTCCTCCCCACCCACAAAGTTTCACTGAGTGTTCTTTAGCCGCAGCTCCGGACTGCCATTACAACCTTGAGCCCAGTGATTAGGGCACTAAGATGAGAGGTGGGAAACCTAGGTTCAAATCTCTGATCCACCAAATACATAGGGTGAAAAGTGGGTTGCCCAGATCCTGGGCGAGTGCTGTAAACAGTGGCCCTGGTTAGAGGTGGCTTTTCTGTGTATGTAGGAGGATCTAGAGCTGAGAAGAGCAATTACATCCTTTGTCCATTTTTGAAGAAAAGAACGATTCTGTTCCAAGTAACCCTATGAGCAGATCCGCTAATTTACATAGGAGCTGTTTGAGCTTATCTGAATGTAGCCTATTTGTGAATGCTGAAACATTGATTTGTTTGTCAGAAACACCGAGGGGGAAAAATGGTAGGTATGGGATTGCCTATTGGTTTCACCCAAATAAAATAAAATGACATAAACAAAAGTATAAATAAATAGAAAGCAAAAATTAAGAGAAAACCTCTACTATTGAAAAATATATATAGTTTATTTCTTGGAATTTGTGTTATCCCTCCCTCTTCTCTTAGCTCAGAAATGTCTTTTACTGCCTAGGGATCACATTTTTGGTTATACTTACCATTTGTTGGGTATATCCCACTTCAGAGAACTTTCCCCTGATTTTCAGAAGAGTCAACTCCCAGAACTCCAAATTAAGTCAACCGGAGATGCAGGTTGTCTGGACACACTAATAAATTACACACTAACAATCCGTGTTCACTACTGAAAATTTACTTTGAGATGTGCAACAGCAAAAGAGAGTTCATCTTTGACTCTGAACAGGTCTTTCCATTTTACTTAGTTTAAATAATTCTGTTATTTTTTCTACAATTTGTGTTTACTTTTTCTCACATTCCAAAGTTTCTTTCATCATTCCCCTTTAATCTTGCTATCTATATGCCAGGTTCTCTTTCCCAGTCTCTGTTTTAGTCATCTCATTTCTCAGCCTATAAGATCATATAACAATGAATGCCATATAAAAATGTAGATAGAATCTGTCTGAATGTCCCATAGGAAGTACAGGAGTGGAGGGAAAATGTCCATTACTTTATATTTGGATGCTACAGCACAAATAGGATATCGAAAGACTTGTATTATTTTGAAATAATTTTATTTTTATGTTATTTCAGAGAAGTTTGAGAAAGAAAACGATAGGTTTATTTTGATTTTTGAGTTTAATAGAAATCAGACTTAGCACCATTTACTTGTATTTGTTGGTACCGCAGTAGTATCTTCAAGACACTGAGGGTTTAAGCTGTAGTCAACAAGGTATATCGTAATGGGTGGCTGTGAGATGGGAATTGGTAAAGAGGAGTCATTGGGGTGAGTCTGAAGTTATGTGCAAGAACAAGGCCTTTTTGTTTGGTTAGTTATGGAATGCAAGATTCTGAATTGTTACTAGATCTGGGTGATGGATCAGGTGTGGTGTATAGGAAAGAGAAAACTGGCAGCTGATGATTGGTTCTTCACCAATTTCTAATGGAAATCGTACTGTTCTTTTGCAGACCAACTCCAGAATGAACTTGGTAAGTTCTCTTTGATTTCTCAACTGCTACTATCCTTCAGAAGAATGTTCTTAAATGAAAACAGATATTTTTTCATTTCATTGCCTTTGCTCAATTCAAGGAGGGTGAATTACTCTGCAGGTTTCTTTTAAACCCATAACAGAACTATGATGAGTTTCTCTCACACAAATTTGATTTATTGCACTAGAATATTTGTATTTATTTCCTCTGTGGTCTAAAATTGAAGGATGGATTTTCCAGAATCACTGGAAATTATGGACATTCCATAATGCTATGCCTCTTGTTCTGTTAATTTTATCATTGATTGTATGTAGGAGGCTAGCAGAAATTTTCTATGGGATTATTTTTTTCATGGTAGGATATGGTGTGTGTTAGTCATTGTGGAAATCATTTTGAGTTGATAAAATTATACTTATTTTAAATGTTGCACGCTACTGTGGAATAGTAGCTCTTTGAATAAAAAAAATGTCAGATTCTGATCCACATTGTAGCTTCTTCATGCTGCTCTAACTACACAAATGTCCACAAAGATCAATGGAACTGAGCTCTAGTGATTTCCCCTTGCACTAGGGAATCTTTGTATGGTTACAAGCACTATACATGCTCCTATATCAGCTCCTTCTGGCCTAGTGCAAGGTGTTTGGCCAGGAGAAAGGGGGCATGGCTTGGCATCAATACTATGTGCCTTCTGTATTTGCCATGGGATTTGCTGGTAATGATGACAGTTTAGAGAATCCTTTAAGATGATGTATTCTGCACAGTGGGAATATTCCACTGAGGAGCCAGCTCAGAATTGAAGTCTAGGATAGAAACAGAATCCTTCATTACTCCTCTTCCCACCCCCTCCCAAAGTATCACTGAGTGTTCTTTAGCCACTGCTCTGGACCTCCCTTATAACTTTCAGCCCAGTGATTAGGATTGGGAGGTGGAAAAGTCAAGTTCTAATCCCTACTGTACCTCAGGCAGAGGATGAGAGCTAGGTCTCCCCCATTCTGGGTGAGTGCTGTAACCACTGGGCTAAAGGTTAAAAGGGAGGTTGTCCTCCTCCCCAGCCATTTTGTGTGCAGATAGGCACACACTGCTGCTTTTCTTGTGAGATACGGCTTAGGCACCTCCCTCCAGCGCAGACTGAGGTGCCGAACTCCCTGAGGGGGCAGGGCTTAGCATATCCCATTCATTAAATTAAATGGCACCCTGCTTAGTGCACTGGCTTTTGTGGAGCCCATTGTTAAGCACCTATCTCTTCACCATATGAGCTAGCATCATTGTGGGAGACTTGAGGAGAATGCGAGAAACAATGATCACATTTAATCAGATCTACCTTTATTAAAGTCTTTTCATATAGAAAACCACAACTAATATAACTGTTGCATAAATGGAAATGGCTAGAAAAAACAAAGTCTCCAGCACCAGTATTTCCAATTCTTTCATATTCATATGGAATCCTGAAGAAGTGCAGTGGTGTTCGGCTGCTGTTGAGGGTCAGGAAATGAAGACCTCCAGGAAATGATGACCTCCAGCCATCTGCCAGGTCCTATTCATAATAAGTTATGCATATAGGGTTGAACCTCATATGTCCATCTTTGGGAGTGTCACTCTGATATTCTCGGGGGACTCTTCACCTGATAGGGCACTTGGATATTTTTTCTTTTAACTTGTTAACATTTATGTCACTTGATCACTGTAGTAACATGTGGATACTTTAAGGATGTCTCTAACGTTACACCCTAGATACCAGCAGTTAGTTTGTGGTTTCCTCAGACATTATTATCCAAACTCAGCAGTTATTTTTTCAAAAAATCAGCATGCAAACATAGACACAAGCTCAACAGATTTATTATTAACTTACTTGTGCTCATATTTTTATAATATGACTTATCCTAAATCCTTAGGCCTAATTTGGATAAACTAAATATTTTACAGGCCTAAGCCTGTAAGTTTCTTGATTTCAGCTTTAAACTTTGCAATATTGGTTAACCCATTACTATCATATAATAGACTAATTTATTAATTACAAGCTACACCATGCAGTGAATAGGGAGGCTGGCACCTAACTGACGCCTTGTAAATTCCATTGCATGGCTAGGTGCCTAAAAGTGATATGTTGCTGTAAGGGGATAGTTGGCCCATCACTAAAACTTGGTGGGTTTGTTTGGCTGACCTCTCCCCATGGCAGGAGAGAGGAGGGGGTCAAGGAGGAGTCAGGACCTTGGGATTGAGAGGACCTCTGGCCAATCAGAGAGCTCTGAAACAGGGCCACTCTGAAGTATCCCATAGCCCAAGTCAGTCTGATTGACCAGGTAGACAGGCCAATCAGAGACCCCAGGTCAGGTCCCCGCCTCCGTGCAGTGACAGTAGCAGCAGGGGAAAGGAGCTGGGGGGAAGGCGAGGGAGAAAAGAGCCACATGAAAGAGTGGGGAGTGGCCAAGTGAGCTGGCGGGGGTCAGCAGTGAGAGAAGAAAACCTTCATAACACAGTGACAGACTCAGACTTTCAGGGCCCTCTGTAAGTCAGTGAACCCAGCACTGGAGACAGGACTGCAGGCATGGGTCAAGGGGTGGTGATGGAGTCGGGGAGAGGGGTGATGAGGGGAGCAAGGCCAGGGTCAATGAAGATGGTGGGGCAAGGGAAAGCGTGGGCAGGGCGAGTGGCAGTGAGGGGTCTGGGAGGGATGGGGTAAAACATGGTGGGGAGGATGGGGTAAGGGGGCTGGCTAAGGGGTGGTGAAGAGATGAGGTCAGGGTTGCTGAGGGAGTGAGGCTGGTGAGCAGGGTGAGGGGCAGTGAGCAAGGTAGCAGGAGGAGTGATGAGGGGGCAGGGCCAGGGGCGATGAGCGGCTGGGGCGAGGGGTGGTGATTGGTTGGGCCTGGTGAATGGGGTTGGGGTCAGTCAGGAGGGAGGGACCACGGGCTGTGAAGGGGTGGGGCCCCACCATGACATGGGGACAAACCTAGCCAGGCTGAGTCCCATGGAGGGGAGAGAAACCAACACCAGAGAAAAGGGCTGCAAGGAGGGGCTGGGGAATCAGGGCTCACTGTGAGGGAGCAGAGACAGGCACAGAGACTCAGCGAGGGGAACTGTGTGGGGTAACTTGGAGGGCCCGAACTGTGGGCTCCCAGAAATCCCCAGTACTGCCTTGAGACTCACCATGACTGGCCCACCATGGGGGATTCCCGGAAGCCCCTGAGCCAGGAAGAGGTGCGAGTCCTGCGGGGTGACTGCAATCAAATCTGCAGATGATTGTCAGATCTGGTCCCAAGGCAAGGCCCTACGTGAGCCATGCATGGACCAAACAAAGGCAGGTCCACCTCGCAGCAGGCTGGGGAGTCTGGAGAGCAGACTAAGATGGGGTTCCCCCCCCTCATTTCTCTTCTTTTCAGTTGACCCTTGGCTACAGGGGAGTATGGAGAGACATTGCTGTGGTAATTTGTGTAACACCATAACCCAGTGGGTGGGGCATTAACCCCATCACACACTCCTTCTGGGGCTATCAAACCAAGGAGCCAAGTTTCATCACCACACAGAAGAAACTGTTACTGCTTAAAGTGTGTTGGTTTGTGTGTGTACATAGACTCATAGGAGATTAGGATTGGAAGAGACCTCAGGAGGTCATCTAGTCCAACCACCTACTCATAGCAGGACCAACTCCAACTAAATCATCCCAGCCAGGGCTTTGTCAAGCTGGGCCTTAAAATCCTCTAAGGATGGAGATTCCACCACCTCCCTAGGTAACCCATTCCAGTGCTTCACTACCATCCTAGTGAAAGAGTGTTTCCTAATATCCAACCTAGACCTCCCCCACTGCTGCAACTTGAGACCATTGCTCCTTGTTCTGTGATCTGCCACTCCAGAGAACAGCCTAGCTACATCTTCTTTGGAACTCTCCTTCAGGTAGTTGATGGTTGCTATCAACCCTCCCCCCCACACTCTTTTCTTCTGCAGACTAAATAATCCCAGTTCCCTCAGCCTCTCCTCATAAGTCATGTGTCCCAGCACCCTAATCATTTTCATTGCCCTCTGCTGGACTCTCTCAAATTTGTCCACATCCTTTCTGTAGTGGGGGCCCAAAAACTGGAGGCAATACTCCAGATGTGGCCTCACCAGTGCCGACTAGAGGGGAATAATCACTTCCCTTGATCTGCTGGCAATATTACTAATACAGCCCAAAATGCCATTAGCCTTCTTGGCAACAAGGGCACACGGTTGACTCATATCCAGCTTCTTGTCCATTGTAATCCCCAGATCCTTTTCTGCAGAACTGCTGCTTAGCCAGTCGGTCCCCAGCCTGTAGCAGTGCATGGTATTCTTCCATCCCATGTGCAGGACTCTGCACTTGTCCTTGTTGAACCTCATCAGATTTCTTTTGGCCCCATCCTCCAATTTGTCTAGGTCACTCTGGACCCTATCCCTACCCTCCAGCATATCTACCTCTACCCCCAGCTTGGTCTCATCTGTGAACTTCCTGAGGGTGAAATCCATCCCATCATCCAGATCATTAATGAAGATATTGAACAAAACTGGCCCCAGGACCGACCCCGGGGGTACTCCACTTGATACCAGCTGCAACTAGACATTGAGCCATTGATCACTATCCATTGAGCCCAACAATCTAACCAGCTTTCTATCCACCTTATAGTCCATTCATCCAATCCATACTTTTTTTAACTTGCTGGCAAGAATACTGTGGGAGACCGTATCAAAAGCTTTGCTAAAGTCAAGATATATCACGTCCAATGCTTTCCCCATATCCACAGAGCCAGTTATCTCATCATAGAAGGCAATCAGGTTGGTCAGGCATGACTTGCCCTTGGTGAATCGTTGTTGACTGTTCCTGATCACCTTCCTCTCCTCCAAGTGCTTCAAAATGGATTCCTTGAGGACCTGCTCTATGATTTTTCCAGGGACTGAGGCGAGGCTGACCGGTCTGTAGTTCCCCAGATTCTCCTTCTTCACTTATTTAAAAATGTGCACTATATTTGTGTTTTTCCAGTCATCCTGGACCTCCCCCATCACCACGAGTTTTCAGAGATAATGGCCAATGGCTCTGCAATCACATCAGCCAACTCCCTCAGCACCCTCAGATGCATTGCGTCCGGCCCCATGGACTTGTGCTTGTCCTGCTTTTCTAAATAGTCCTTAACCTGTTCTTTCACCACTGAGGGCTGCTCACCTGCTCCCCATACTGTGTTGCCCAGTGCAGCAGTCTGGGAGCTGATCTTGTCTGTGAAAACCAAGGCAAACAAAAGCATTGAGTACTTTAGCTTTTTCCACATCACTTGTCACTAGGTTGCCTCCCACATTCAGTAAGGGTCCTACACTTTCCCCGACCTTCTTCTTGTTGCTAACATACCTGTAGAAACTCTTCTTGTTACCCTTCCCATCCCTTGCTAGCTGCAACTCCAGTTGTGCTTTGGCGCTCCTGATTACACCCCTGCATGCTCGAGCAATATTTTTATACTCCTCCCCAGTCATCTGCCCAAGTTTCCACTTCTTGTAAGCTTCCTTTTTGTGTTTAAGTTCACCAAAGATTTCTTTTTTAAGCCAAGTGGTCACCTGTCTTATTTGCTATTCTTTCTGCACATTGGGATGGTTTGTTCCTGCAACTCCAATAAAGGCTTCTTTAAAATATAGAGTGAATAGTTCAGTATGTTTCCCACCCAGGCATAGGCAATGGTGTGACAATTGCTATTGTGTATTTTAAAACCTTTGAGCTGCTTAATATATTTTTGAAACCAGTTAACAAGTTTTCTCTGATTTTCAGGCTGTTCCTGAGAGAGAAAAATCTGTTCTATTTTAGTTGGCATTTTGTATGTGCCCTTTTTAACAGCTTAGTTGTAGATAAAGCTCCTACCCCAGTTAGGAGAATGTTACTTATTGGGAATCTATCTAGTAGCAAGGTGGGAGCACTCCAGCTCATAGACAAATCCAACATGGGTAAGAGGAGCAACTGGAGGGGAGGTACTATGATGAGAGGGAGAGGCAATTTGAAAGCTACTTCATTATAGCCTCCATTGTTCAGGCTCCATCACGGGGTCTCCCAAGCTGCTGAGAGATCCCTGAAAAGGGAGGGTAATTGGTGATTGGGTTGCAGCCTTAAACCTGATCCCAGTGTGTCCTGAGGATCCAGTAGTCAAGGCCCTGCTCATGTAGCCTCACTAGGTAGATTAAGGGAAAGGAAGTCTCTTTGTGGACCTGGGCCCTAGTCCCCATCTCATTTGGTGCATATTGCTGCACCCAAACCAACAAATTAAATAATAATAGCAGTGTCCAAATTGTTGTTAGAGAGAATCTGGTGGTCTGAAACAGTATGTGTGTGAGGGGTGGAGGGAGTGTGAGGGTGTTTGGTTTATGTAAGAAAAAGTTGAAAACATACCAGCACCCCAAAAAAGGCAGGTTACATGATTAGATGAGGCATTGGCTTCTCTGCAAGACAGTTTTTAGGCAGACCACGACCCTTGCTCAGGTTTCTAATAATTGGAGTTCAGTAAAGCCCACTTGTATGTATGGTGTACTACGTCTATCTGTGTGTACATTCTAGGAACATTTTCTGTGTGTATTTTAATATTCTACTGCCAGAAGCAGGAAAATATTTAGAATGGGCCTCTTTTAATTCAATGTCTGTTATTTCTTATTCTGATTTCAGAATGGAGAAAGGCTCGTAATGAGACAGGTAACAGTATACACATTTCTTCCAGTATTAAGAAATCATTGTGTTAATGCATTAACCAAACTAGAAACATACAATAAAATATTCTTATGCTGAGAACAAAACTTGAGACCCATACTCCGTTTATACAGTCTTTAGTTAGGCAAAACTCCCATTTATATCAGGACCTGATTCTGACCTTGTACTAATTTCACACTAGTGTAACTTCATGGATCTATGTGAAGTCACTCCTAATTTGCACAGATGTGAAATCAGAATTAACCCTCACTGAGAGATGTGGGTAAGGACTGAGGAAATCCTAAATCAGGGCCTCAGGATTTGGAGCAGGGTAAAAGCACAGATAAGGTGGTGATGGTGACTCCATTAATCATACTAAGATGAGTAATGCTGACAGGGGTTATAAAGGTGTGTAGTGGTGACCAGGAGTGAAATATGTGGGATTGTGATGGCATTGATACTGATGAAGACAGTGGTGAAAAATTAGTAGTGGTGTTGACTTATGATTGATGGTGATGTTGGAAAAAAAGAATATGATACTGAGTGATGTTCATTAAGGGATGATGAAAGACAGGTGCAATCATGGTGATTTATGGCAGGTATGAGAATGTGACAGTAATTTGCATTTTATTGCAATTTTCTTCTGATCATCTCCAAGCTCTTTCTAGTCCGATCTATCCCTCATTGAGTTTGGAAGTATACATAGTTTACAGAAAATGATTAAATTGTTTGAAGCTCATTGAATGGGTCAGTGTCACAGAGGGGAATAGAATTTATGAGTCCTAATTCTCAATACGCACCTCCAGCTAACCGACAAAACATTATTTTCATTACTAAAATAGTCCATTATAACACTGATAGTACAACTGTGAATGCAATGGGGAAGTATAGTGATCCAAGATAACAGGCACAGTAATTTTCTTCTCTATAGTCTGATTGTCTGTTCGAAGATTCATATTTATTTTTTCCCAAGGTCCAGTTCAGCAGGGTATTTAAGCAAGTACTAAACTTTAAGCACATATAAGGGTTTCACCTCATCTGAGCACATCTACTGGATCAGACCCCAAAGGCAGGCTAGGCAGGGCTGCACCTAGTTACGTGCCAAGCTGCTGGGCAATGTCAGGAGTCAGGTGGCTGAGTGAAGGCCCAGCTGCCAAAGTTTAGGCACCTTGGGCACTTTAATGGTGGACACTTAGGCACTTAGGGAATTTATGTGCCTGCAAGGTTAGGCAGAAGCTGAATAAGTGTTTTGTGAATTCCAGTGTTGCTAAATGTTGGATGAATTTGGCTATATCCCCCTTGAGAATGCCACCAAATAGTTCAGAATCACTTTCAGTTTTGTGTGAAATTCAGACAACTCTCATATATCTGAAGAATTTCAATACAACAAAAACATTGCCAAGCAGGCTTCAATGAGGCAAAACTCCCACCTCAGAAGGGTGTACAGGATGGGGCCCACCCTGTAAACTTCCCTTATCCCAGCTCAGACTGACATTAGACCAGTGCTTTTGACAACCCAATTTCTCTTTTCAGATGACATCACTCTTGATGCCGGAACAGCCCACCCCAACCTCTCCATTGCTGGGGATAAGAAGAGTTTGAAACATGAAGCCCAACCTCAAAAAGTTCCAGCAAATCCAGAGAGGTTTGATTCGACTGTCTGTGTGTTGGGTTTTGAAGGATTCTCTTCTGGAAAGCACTACTGGGAGGTGGACGTTAAGAAGATCAGTGACTGGGACCTGGGAGTTGCCAAAGAATCAATACAGAGAAAAGGAAAACTTTCCTTATCCCCTAAAGAGGGATTCTGGGCTTTGGGTCTGAGTGGGAGAGATTATTGGGCAAAAACAGATCCATGGACCCAGGTCACGGTGCAGAAAAAGCCCCAGAAAATTGGAGTTTACCTTAATTGCCAAGATGGGCGGGTGACCTTTTTCAATGTAACTGACATGTCTGTGTTGTTCACATTTAATGATTGTTCATTCTCAGGAGAGCTTTATCCATTCTTTAAAAATTCCCACAAAGAAACAACAATGAGAGTTTGTTCAATTAAAGAAGAGTAATCAATTTAAAATGCCATGATGTTCCGTTTTGTTGACCAAACACAGCCAAAGCCCTGTGCTGCTTCATGGCACTGTTGACCAAACTGAATCAAAGTAACAGAACACTTTGCAGTTAGAAGAAAGGTGATCTGGAATAACATTCCCTGTGAAATTATAGTTACAAATATTGCTAATGCTGCAGGGGTGGCTCCCCAAATTAGGAATGGAACTGTACTGGAATCTCACAAACAGAGCTATTAATGATGAAAGTAATTTTTTTCATTGCTAACTTCCTGTTTATCTGGATTAGGTGTATTAGCAGCTAAGAGTAAGCAAATGATGTCCTATACTAATGTTTCTCTGCTAAACTGAATAACCAATCTTTGAGTCAGGTATAAATACAGATGGGGAATGCACCCAGTCTTGAGAAAGCTTGACCAGTTGCACTGCTGTCTTCAGGATGGGTTGGTAATCGATTGACTTTTCCTTTCTGTATTATGTTGTACTAATTTTGATTAATAATTTTTGATTAATAAAAGTTGATTGAGCCTAGTTATTTGACATGTCATTATTGGTTTATGTCAAACCCATAACAATTTGCACTGATGTTTCTTTGGAAAATAAAAGATTAGTTGTGTATTCAGAGGTGCTGGAACAATTTTTATAGTGGGCATGCTGAGAGCCACTGAACCAAACTGTAACCCTGTATATAATGGAAACCACTTCAAGCTAGGGGATGCGGCAGAACCCCCTGCATCCCCGCACCCCTAGTTCCAGCACCTATGCTGTATATTGTTTGTGATGCCATCGTATCTGTATGTTTTCCAAAAATTAGTGTTCAGCCTCTTGGCAATTATCGATATCTGTAATCTGTGTAACCTTTTCAGAACATGATGTTTCTGACACAGAATATGAGGATTTTACTGAGGAAAACAGAGCCCCATTTCATATCATTGGTTTTGGAAACACTATAACACCAAGCTTATTACTAAATTTCAGATTAATGTCTGACTAATAACTATAATCTGGGTCTGTAGTCAGCTGAATAAATCTATTTGCATATGTCCCTCCCCCTGTCAGCAGGGATCACAGGAGCTCAGCTCCTGCCAGCACTGGCCAGTAGCCTTTAAAGACATTTTCACACTTCACAGGTAAATACAGTTCAGAGGAGGTGGGTAGCCATCCTGTTGTTCTTCTGATACAGAGGATGTTCCACCTATGGATGCAACTATATCACATCCTTCTTTCCATAGCATCTGTTGATTGATGTTTGGCTGTGTGTGTGTTTGTTTGCTCTGTATGCTGCCCCAGCTCTGTGCAGATAGCAGAGACAGCAGACTTTGATTGAACTCCCCAATAAATCCACAGACTTGGTCTTCAGCTAAGGAACTTGGTCAGGTTTATTGCAGATAAAGAACAGTGCTAATGCCCTGGCTCAATGGTTACAGGTACACTAACACATGTATGCTCGTGACAATGGACCAGCTCAGTTACTGGCGGGATTTTCCATTATCCCCTCGGTTAGACCTTGACACCCCTTTATGATACCTCTTTATACCCCTATACAAACAAGTTATGCATTGCCCCCTTACTTATCTAGGTGCCACTCTCTAACATATCTATGTGCCACCCATTACCTTGTACATGTTGGTTCGATCAAAACATCTCCATCCATCATGCTGTCATCCTGATCTTATCTTTAAGATGGGTCAATGTGTTCCTGTTAATTTTGGAGAATATGCTGGTATCAGGGTGTTCTGGTACGACCCTCCTGGAATGTGTTTGCGTGCATGGCCTGTGCCTAGCACCTCTTAGGAATGTGTGTTTCTGTAATATCAGCCCTATTCTTGCCAGATTCTGTGAGCAGGCCCCCTTACAACATGACTTTTCTTTATATCAGCAAAGCTTCGGTCATTACTTTAGTTCAGTACTTTGGGGGGGGGGTGGAGTGATAGCTCAGTGGTTTGAGCATTGGCCTGCTAAACCCAGGGTTATGAGTTCAATCCTTGAGGGGGCCATTTAGGGAACTGGGGTAAAAAGCTCTCTGGGGAATGGTCCTGCTTTGAGCAGGGGGTTGGACTAGATGACCTCCTGAGGTCCCTTCCAACCCTGATATTCTATGATTCAGGTCTCTGATACATGAGCTTGTGTTTCAAGCCCTCTTCCTACTACAGCATGTAGTGTACATACAAAGGTAGTCTCCCTACGATAGCTATAAATAACAGCCTAGATAGTGAGAGACAGTTTAGGCAAGTGGAGTAAAGACACAAATGAAAGGTGCCAATATATACCCAAGTATATACACTACCGCTCTTTACTTGCCCAAGCTGTGCTGGAACCTTTCACTGACACTTGTAGCTACACACCACAGTGTGGATGTGCTGAGTTTTTCACTGCCAACTGTAACTACATGTCTGCTATACGGCACCGCCAGTGGCATATGGTGTAACAAACATGTGACTATCTCTATGTGATCTGCAGGGCACATGTTCAGATACTCGTAGTTATGTACAGCACTCCAGATGGAAAAATACTATCAACCCGAGAGGAACTCATAGAACTGCTCCCCAAAACGACACTGGAATTCCCCATATTCCTTGTCCTCAGACATATCTACCTTCATTTACACAATACAGAAGGTACCATAGTACTTGATCTCATTGTCAACATGGGACTTGCCAAGGCAGTCTCTGAACCGACTTTGTACCTGCAGACGTACATTCAATTATATCTTCAATCTAGGACTGGAAATTTGAGTTTTCATAAGTGTACCGCACTCCTGATCTGATCACCTCCTCATCCAGGCAGAGGTCAGAGATTTCCATCCTTTCCACCTCGGTAGCAAACATTCAAAACTGGTCACCCCTGAAGACTCCTGAACTCTCTAAGTTTTCAACTTACCCTAAGAGACCAAGCCCCACAATTACAAGGCCAAGGTGCTGATGACTTAACACAGTCACCGGATGTCCATTCTCAAATGCCTTGGTCCCAAGCTGCCCACTCCCCCCACATCAACTGGGATGACCACAATGCTTCACAGATGAACTTCAGCAGATGAAGTGAACAGGCAGAAAGTTAGAACATCACTAGAGCAAAAAACTTTCTGAATCCCTCCACCAGCAGCACAAATAACACTCACAGAACCAGGCCTCTGCAGCAAAGCAGGTGAAATAACCCTTCAACTCCCTTTCAGTGAAGGCAGCAAGGGAACAGCTGACCCCCCTCTGTGATACCTCTTTATACCCATATACAAACAAGTTATGCATTGCCCCCTTACTTATTTAGGTGCCACCCTCTGACAAAGTTTGGCATCCCTGTGTTCCACACTAAGGGTATGTCTACACTACGAGGGTAGTTCGATTTCACTTAAATCGAATATGTGGAATCGATATTGCAAAGTCGAACGTGTGTGTCCACACTAAGGACAGTAATTCGACTTTGTGAGTCCACACTAACGGGGCAAGCGTCGACATTGGAAGCGGTGCACTGTGGGCAGCTATCCCACAGTTTCCGCAGTCCTCGCTGCCCATTGGAATTCTGGGTCAAGGCGCCAATGCCTTCTGGGTAAAAAAATGTGTCGAGGGTGCTTTTGGGTAACTGTCGTCATCCGTCCGTCACTACCGCCCTCCCTCCCTCCCTGAAAGCGCCGGCGGGAAATCAGTTTGCGCACTTTTCTGGTCAATGACAGCGCGGATGCCACAGCACTGCGAGCATGGAGCCCGCTGCGACCATCGCTGCAGTTGTGGCCGTTGTCAACGCCTCGCAGCTTCTCATCCACCTTTCCCAGAGGCAGATACAGAGAAATCAGGCGAGGAGGCTACGGCACCGCGGTGAGGGCCTGAAGTATGAGAGTAGCACAGAGCTGTCAGAAACCACGAGACCCAGCGCCGAGGACATCACGGTGGCAATGGGTCATGTGGATATTGTGGAACGGCGATTCTGGGCCCGGGAAACAAGCACGGACTGGTGGGACCGCATAGTGCTGCAGGTCTGGGATGAATCCCAGTGGCTGCGAAACTTTCGCATGCAGAAGGGGACTTTCCTCGAACTTTGTGAGTTGCTGTCCCTTGCCCTGAAGCGCAATGACACCCGGATGCGAGCAGCACTGACTGTCCAGAAGCGAGTGGCCATAGCCCTCTGGAAGCTTGCAACGCCGGACAGCTACCGGTCAGTCGCGAACCACTTTGGTGTGGGCAAATCTACCGTGGGGGTTGTTGTGATGCAAGTAGCCAACGCAATTGTTAAGGTACTGCTCTCAAAGGTAGTGACCCTGGGAAACGCGCAGGCCATCATAGATGGCTTCGCCGCGATGGGATTCCCAAACTGCGGTGGGGCTATAGATGGAACTCACATCCCTATTCTGGAACCGGACCACCAGGCCAGCCAGTACATTAACAGAAAGGGCTACTTTTCAATGGTGCTGCAAGCACTGGTGGACCATAGGGGACGTTTTACCAACATCAACGTCGGATGGCCGGGCAAGGTTCATGACGCTCACGTGTTCAGGAACTCTGGTCTGTTTAGATGGCTTCAGGAAGGTATTTACTTCAAAATAAGTCTTGGGGATGTGGAGATGCCTACAGTGATCCTCGGGGACCCAGCCTACCCGCTAATGCCCTGGCTCATGAAGCCCTATACTGGCGCCCTGGACACAGAAAAAGAACTGTTCAACTACCGGCTGAGCAAGTGCAGAATGGTGGTGGAGTGTGCTTTTGGCCGTCTCAAGGGGAGATGGAGAAGCTTACTGACTCGCTGTGATCTCAGCGAAACCAATATCCCCATTGTTACAGCAGCTTGCTGTGTGCTCCACAATCTCTGAGAGAGCAAGGGGGAAACCTTTATGGCGGGGTGGGAGATTGAGGCAAATACCCTGGCTTCAGATTACGCCCAGCCAGACAGCCGGGCGATTAGAAGAGCCCAGCGGAACGCACTGTGCATCCGGGAGGCTTTGAAAGCTAGGTTCCACAGTGAGCAGGGTAACCAGTGACTGTTAAGTTTGTGGACACAGAAGCTGAACCTGCCCCCGTTTCTTTACCCAGTTTATGTTGACTATCCTCTCCAGCTACATACCCCCTTCACCCCCTTCCCCAAAAATACAATCAGGTCTATTTTCTTAATGAACACCGTTGTCTTTATTACTGTTTTCGCGGGAATGTTTTAAACCTGGGACTCTGACTGTGGTGGGGGGCGGGTGTAGTGTAGTGATGCAAATGATGCCTCTAAACTCCAGGAATGACAGGCTCCGCAGCGGTGGACTGGTTGTTTCAATGGAGCCTGCCAGCCGTCCTGGGCGGGACTGAGTGTATGTGTCAGCTATGTGACTTTCTGGCAGGGGGAGGAGGGTTACAGATCCCCTGCTGTGTGGCTCTGTGATCCAGGATAAGGACCGCTGCATAAGATCTGTAACTGCCCTCCCCCGCCACAAAGTCACAGAGCAAACCCCCCCCCCCACAGAACATGAAAACCACCTCCCAGACTGACCAAGGTAACTAGTAACTGCACTGTGTATGTGCCCTGCTGCTGGACCTGCCCCTGCCTCTGTA